GACTGCACCGAGATACTAGCTCAGGTGCACGGAGTTCGAGAAGACCTGCAGGACCGCCCACTTCCTGACGCCGACCTCGTCTGGTTCACTGATGGGAGCAGCTTCATGCATCAGGCCCAGAGGTACGCTGGAGCGGCAGTGACTTCAGAGACTGAGGTAATCTGGGCGGAACCCCTGCCCCCGGGGACATCGGCCCAGAAGGCCGAACTGATAGCGCTCACCCAAGCTCTTACCTTAGGGGTGGGGAAAAAGCTGACGGTATATACAAACAGCCGATATGCTTTTGCAACAGCGCATATACATGGGGCCATTTACAGGGAGCGGGGGTTACTGACGGCTGAAGGAAAAGAGATAAAAAAAACAAGCAAGAAATCCTAGCCCTGCTAACAGCCCTATGGAGGCCAGAAAAGTTAGCCATTGTGCATTGCCCAGGGCATCAGAAACTAACTACTCCAACTGCTCAAGGCAACTTTCTGGCAGACCAAACTGCAAGAAAGGTGGCGAAGGCTCCCAGCCAACTCCTTGCACTCCAGCTCCCTGACCCGGGCCCCCGGGACTTGCCATATTTCCCTGATTATTCAGAACAAGATCTCCAGTGGATTGACAAGCTTCCCCTGAAACAGATCCAGAATGGGTGGTGGACTGATACTAATGACCAAACCATCCTACCAGAAAAATTAGGACAACAAGTGTTAGAACACATCCACCGAACCACCCACCTGGGTGCTCGGCGGATGATAGACCTGATCAGACGCTCTAAGCTCAAATTCAGACATACAGCCGAGATGGCCAGCAACATCGTGACAAGTTGCAAAGTCTGCCAGCTTAACAACGCCTACCCCCAATCCCAGGCTGCAATGGGAACAAGGCTCAGGGGAACCAGGCCCGGTATCTACTGGGAAGTAGATTTTACTGAGATAAAGCCAGGAAAATACGGGTATCGGTACTTACTTGTCTTTGTAGATACTTTTTCAGGGTGGACTGAAGCATTCCCCACCAAGAAAGAAACTGCTCAGGTTGTAGCAAAGAAAATCCTGGAAGATATCCTCCCCAGGTATGGCTTCCCCGTCCAGATAGGGTCAGATAATGGGCCGGCCTTCGTCGCTAAGGTAAGTCAGGATTTGGCTTCCATCCTTGGGGCAAATTGAAAACTACATTGCGCTTACAGGCCCCAGAGTTCAGGACAGGTAGAGAGAATGAATCGGACCTTAAAAAAGACCTTAACTAAATTAACTATGGAGACTGGCGCTAATTGGGTGGTCCTTCTCCCCTACGCTCTGTTCCAGGCCCGTAATACCCCTTACAGACTGGGCCTTACTCCTTATGAAATTATGTATGGCAGACCCCCACCCTTAGTTCCCGGCCTAAAAGATGATCTGCTCAAGTCTGAAACAGAAAATGTCTCTGAACTCTTATTTTCCCTACAAGCCTTGCAGAAAATTCATCAAGAAATCTGGCCCAAGCTGAAGGAACTATATGAGACCGGTCCCCCGCCGACACCCCATCCGTACCAGCCGGGAGACTGGGTCCTGGTCAAGTGACACCGACAAGAGACCCTAAAACCCAGGTGGAAAGGACCACTCCAGGTACTCCTAACCACACCCACCACCCTGAAGGTAGAAGGCGTCACATCGTGGATCCACTACTCCCACGTCAAGCCAGTGGACCCAACCTCCGATCTTCTGGGACCAATCACGGCGGTGGCTGAAGCACCGGACACGTGGACTGTGGACAGAGCTAGGAACAACCCCTTAAAACTCACCCTGCGCTGGCAGCATAGCTCACTGCAAACATGCAGTTAGGTAGTCTAACCCTAACGTTAGTCGTCCTAATGGCCGCTGGAGAAATCACAAAACCAGCTCATAATCCCTTTGTCTGGAGATTCTGGCTTTATGAAAACCGAACCCACCCTGGGCAACCTCATAAGCCCGGAAAATTATTGGCCAGTGCTGATTGCCCTTCCTCAGGGTGCAACAGCCCAATTCTACTAAATTTTACTGGTTTTCAAATAGCCAAACCTATGACACCAATAATATGCTTTGAGTTTGATCAGACTAAATACAATTGTAAACACTATTGGTGGCACCAAAATGCCGGCTGTCCTTATAACTATTGTAACATCCATAGACCCTGTTATTGGGGAGAGAGAAAACAGTTAGACCCTAAGTGGCCCTTCCATCGTAGACGGGATAGAGACTTTTCATATACATGAATAGTTAGAGACCCCTGGAACTCCCGCTGGACCACGCCTCAACATGGGGCTGTATACTACTCCCCCTCCTCCACATGGCCTAGCAGTCACCTCTATCTGTGGCGAGGCCTAGTGCAAGTACTGCCCCTGGTCCACGGGAATATCCAACGACAGGAAAACAGACTAACACAAGACTTACGTCCTTTCTCTTGGTTAAAGTTATTACAAGAAGGACTAGAACTTGCTAACCTTACAGGACTTCATAGCCTGTCTGGCTGCTTTCTGTGCGCCACTCTAGGGCATCCACCGGTAACCGCTGTCCCTCTGCCATGGGGATCCTCTACCTTTGCCCAAGCTAACAACCTCCGAAACCTCTCGTATGCTCCTATCCTGAACGTGCCCCTATACCTAAACCCCAGTCAGGAGTTTCCCTACTGTTTCTCAGGAACCAATTCCAGCCTCTGCAGCATCACTGCAACACCCCCTAATATCACCTTAAGGGCTCCATCAGGCATATTCTTCTGATGTAATGGAACCTTATCTAAGAACCTACCTAGTCCTTCTGTTAATAACCTACTGTGTCTCCCTGTCACATTAGTTCCCCGGTTGACTCTACTAACTGCTGGCGAGTTCCTAGGGTATACCGGTAACTGGACTAGTGCTGTTATTCACCCAGACCCTAGACCAAGACCTGCACGAGCCATATTTCTCCCCCTCATTGCAGGAATCTCCCTTACCGCATCCTTCATTGCGGCCGGACTGGTGGGGGGAGCCCTAGGTCACACCCTCATAGAAAGTAACAAGCTGTACCAACAATTTGCTGTTGCTATGGAGGAGTCGGCTGAGTCCCTTGCCTCCCTTCAGCGGCAGCTCACGTCCCTAGTTCAGGTAACCTTGCAGAACCGGAGAGCCCTAGACCTACTCACTGCAAAAAAAGGTGGTACATGTATATTTCTAAAAGAAGACTGTTGTTTCTACATAAATGAATCAGGACTTGTAGAGGACCGGGTCCAACAGTTACGCAAGTTAAGCACTGAAGTAAAAACACGGCAGTTTGCTTCAGCTGCAGACCAATGGTGGAATTCCTCTATGTTTTCTCTGTTAGCCCCCTTCCTTGGACCCCTGCTAAGTCTACTATTTCTGCTTACCATAGGACCTTGTGTTGTTAACAGAATTTTACAATTTGTTAGGGAGAGATTTGACACCATACAACTCATGGTCCTCAGAGCCCAATACCAACCTGTAAACGCTGAAACAGAATCAGACTTATAAGACCCAAGATTGGCTCTAAAGATACCTGAAAAGAAGGGGGGAATGAAAGGAGCTGGGCACATTCCTCAGCCCCCGGGCTCAAAACTCCCTGAGCCCAGTACAAACACCACCTGGAAAGTCTCCGATAAGGAGACAGCCATTCAAGGTTACTGAAAGCGCGGGAGCCAAAAGAATTTCTTTGTTCCCCTGCAACTTTTGGGCTATAAAAAGCAAACGCTCGCATTGATCGGGGCCCTCTTGTATACTGTGTAAAGGAGGGACCAGGTTCGAACTTGTAGTAAAGATCTTTGCCGCTTGGCTTTGACTCTGGACTCTGGTGGTCTTCTTTGGGGAACAAACGGTCTGGGCATAACACAGGTTGGATGCCAAATTTGTCAAGGCGACCAGAGTTGTCCAGTAATAATATCTAGGTTGTTGGGGAACCAGCATGGAGCAGTTCCTCTATAACTACAAAAACAAATTCTAATTTGTAATTGGATTTAAACATTCCTTTTAGGCCAGGCACAGAGGCTCATGCCTATAACTCCAGATCTTTGGGAGGTCAAGGCAATAGGATTGCTTGAGCCCAGGAGCTCAAGACCAACCAGGGCAGCATAGTGAGACCCAATGTCTACAAAAATTAAAAAATGGACCAGGCACAGTGGCTCACTCCTGTAATCCCAGCATTTTGGCAGGCCAAGGTGGGCAGATCACAAGGTCAGGAGTTTGAGACCAGCCTGGCCAACATGATGAAGCTCAGTCTCTACTAAAAATACAAAAAAGTAGCCGGGTGTGGTGGCAGGCACCTGTAATCCCAACTACTCAGGCAGCTGAGGCAGGAGAATTGCTTGAACCTGGGAGGCGGAGGTTGCAGTGAGCCGAGACCATGCCACTGAGCTACAGCCTGGGCAAAAGAGAGAGACTCTGTCTCAGGAAAGAAAGAAAGAAAAAAAGAGGGCCGGGCATGGTGGCTCATACCTGTAATCGCAGCACTTTGGGAGGCCGAGGTGGGCAGGTAGCTTGAGGCCAGGAGTTCGAGACCAGCCTGCCCAACATGGCAAAACCCTGTCTCTACTAAAAATACAAAAATTAGGTTGGTGGCGCATGCCTGTGGTCCCAGCTACTTGGGAGGCAGAGGCACAAGAATCGCTTGAACCTGAGAGGTGAAGGTTGCAGTGAGCCCAGATTGCGCCACTGCCCTCTGTCCTGGGCAGGAGAGAGAGAGAGAGACTCTGTCTCATAAAAAAAAAAAAAAAAAAAAAAAAAAAGAAAAAAAAATTATTAATTTAAAATTAAGAAAAAAAAAAAAAAAAAAAAGGCCAGGCATGGTGGCATGCACTGGTAATCCCAGCTACTTGGAAGACTGGAGTGGGAGAATCACCTGAGCCTGGGATGTTGAGGGCGCAGCGAGCTGTGATTGCACTGCTGCCCTCCAGCCTGGGCAACAGAGATCTTGATTCTAAAAAAATAAAAATAAAGAAATTAACATTGTTTTAAGTGTGACAGAACCACCAACTATGCAGAAAGTGCCCGGGATTATGTTCAGAGCAGCACTCACCTGCAGCTGCTTCTTCAGTCCTCTTCCAGGGCAGCCCATAGTGCTTCATCAAACATCCTTTAGCCTCTTCCACATGAATGCAGAACACTCCAACTGTTCAATAACCTTCAGGTCACAGCCCATCATGTCAGCTGTCTGTGGAGTGAAGGGATTGTATTTGTCCTTGGTTAAGTTTCTCAGTAGTGCAGGGGTATACTTCTGAGATCGATTTCGGTTCCAAGAAACAATGAATCTTCAAAATGGTGAATTATCTCAGGTACCCACTTTTCACATTTTCAAATGAGGACCGAAGACCACTAGAAGATAAACTATAAGGCCAGGGGCAGTGGCTCACGCCTGTAACCCCAGCACTTTGGGAGGCTGAGGTGGGCAGATCACCTGAGGTTGGCAGTTCGAGACCAGCCTGACCAACATGGAGAAACCCGGTCTCCACTAAAAATAGAAAATAATCGGCCGGGCGTGGTGGCTCAAGCCTGTAATCCCAGCACTTTGGGAGGCCGAGATGGGCGGATCACGAGGTCAGGAGATCGAGACCATCCTGGCTAACACGTTGAAACCCTGTCTCTACTCAAAAAAATACAAAAAACTAGCCGGGCGATGTGGTGGGCGCCTGTAGTACCAGCTACTCAGGAGGCTGAGGCAGGAGAATGGTGTAAACCCGGGAGACGGAGCTTGCAGTGAGCTGAGATCCGGCCACTGTACTCCAGCCTGGGCGACAGAGCCAGACTCGGTCTCAAAAAAAAAAAGAAAAAAAAGAAAATTATTTGGGCATGGTGGAGCATGCCTATAATCCCAGCTACTTGGAAGGCTGAGGCAGGAGAATTGCTTGAACCCAGGAGGCAGAGGTTGCCGTGAGCCAAGGTTGCAGTGAGCCAAGATCCCGCCATTGCACTCCAGCCTGGGCAAAAAGAGCAAAACTCGGTTTCAAAAAAAAAAAAAAAAAAAGATAAACTATAAATATTAATACATCTGGCTGGGCATGGTGGCTCATGCCTATAATTCCAACACTTCGGGAGGCTGAGGCGGGCAGATTGCCTGATGTCAGGAGTTCGAGACCAGCCTGGCCAGCATGGTGAAACCCCATCTTTACTAAAAATACAAACATTAGCTGGGCGTGGTGGCAGGCAGCTGTAATCCCAGCTACTTGGGAAGCTGAGGCAGGAGAATCGCTTCAACCAGGGAGGCGGAGGTTGCAGTGAACCGAGATGGTGCCATTGCATTCCAGCCTAGGCATTAGAGCAGACTCCGTCTCAAAAAAAAAAAAAAAAAAAAAAAAAAATTAATACATCTGATTGTGGATAGCTGTGGGGGTCATTCTGTCATAATCTTTTTGCCCTGCAGGACTGAAAAGTGCAAGATTATATGGCTCTCACCAATAACTGTGACTGCATAGTTGTCAAAAATCACTGGTACATCTGTCAGGGCAAACTGTTAGTAATGAAAAATAAGAAAAAAGGACCGGGTGCAGTGGCTCATGCCTGTAATCCCAGCACTTTGGGAGGCCGAGGTGGGCAGATCACCTGAGATCAGGAGTTCGAGACCAGCCTGGCCAACATGCTGAAACTCCATCTCTACTGAAAATACAAAATTAGGCCGGGCGCGGTGGCTCAAGCCTGTAATCCCAGCACTTTGGGAGGCCGAGACGGGCGGATCACTAGGTCAGGAGATGGAGACCATCCTGGCTAACACGGTGAAACCCCGTCTCTACTAAAAAATACAAAAAACTAGCCGGGCGCAGTGGCGGGCGCCTGTAGTCCCAGCTACTCAGGAGGCTGAGACAGGAGAATGGCCCGAACCCGGGAGGCGGAGCTTGCAGTGAGCTGAGATCCGGCCACTGCACTCCAGCCTGGGCGACAGAGCGAGACTCCGTCTCAAAAAAAAAAAAAAAAAAAAAAAAGAAAAAGAAAATACAAAATTAGCTAGGCATGGTGGCAGGCGCCTGTAATCCCAGCTACTCGGGAGGCTGAGGAAGGAGAATTGCTTGAACCCGGGTTGCAATGAGCCGAGATTGTGCCATTGCACTCTAGCCTGGGCAACAAGAGCTAAACTCCCGTCTCAAAAAAAATTAATAAAACAAGAAAAAAAAATCATTCGTACATATTCAATTTGTTTATTGTATAGGATATCAAGACATATATTACCAATAGCTTCATTATTCACAATTGTCTGCATGCTGAAATATTTTTCAATCCATTTTAAATATTCCAAATTTGATTTTGACTTGGCATTTCCAATCAGCTTTAAAGACCTAAGTATTTTTCTCAGCTTGAGGGGTGCTAGCAGGAAAGGGAGTGAAAGAGTGTTTAGGCCCTCATAGTTGGGCTCTCACAGTTGAGATGGTTCAAATTGACTAGATGGCGGTAGTGGGTAAGATCGCCTGCCAGGAAGTACTGTAACCCAGGGTCCCCAGGTTTTCAGGTTTTTGGGTATGAAAAATACCCACTTGAAACTGTTGAAACTTGAGTGTTGTTTCAAAAAGTTCCAGGAAGAAGCCGAGCCTCAGCAAAACAAAAACCAGCTGGATCCAGAGATGCCTGAGACGGATATGAAATGTGGCTCTTATTACCATACTAAAAACCCTCGCCCAGGTGCTATAACTGGGGTCCGCTCACCTGCCTGACACAGTGAGGTTGTGCAGCAGTAGAAAGGAAGGCATGTATTTCTTTTTTGTTATTATATTTTTGGAGATGGAGTCTTGCTCTGTTGCCCAGGCTGGAGTGCAGTGGTATGATCTTGGCTCACTTCAACCTTCACCTCCTGGGTTCAAGTGATTCTTCTGCCTCAGCCTCCAGAGTAGCTGGGACTAGAGTTGCCAGCCACCACTCTCAGCTAATTTTTGTACTTTTAGTAGAGACAGGGTTTCGCCATGTTGGCCAGGCTGGTCATGAACTCTTGGCCTCAAGTGATCCGCCCACCTTGGTCTCCCAAAGTGCTGGGATTGCAGGTGTGAGCCACTGCACCTGGCCTTATTTTTTTTTAATGTTTTGTTTTGTTTTGTTTTGAGACAGGGTCTCATTCTGTTTCCCAGGCTGGCGTGCAGTGGCATGATCATTGCTCACTGTGACCTCAACCTCTTGGGCTCAAGCAATCTGCCGGCCTCTGCCTCCCAAGTAGCTGGGACTACAGAAGTGCACCATCATGCCCAGCTAATTTTTAAATTTTTTGTAGAGGCAGGGTTTTGGCATTTTGCCCCGATCTCAAACTCTTGGGATGGAGTAATCCTCCCCCCTTGGGCTCCCAAAGTGCTTGGGATGAGAGGTGTGAGCCATCATGCCCAGCTGAAGGCATCTATTTGCAAAGATGCACACCAAGGAGGACAAGGCAGCTCATGCTCAAATCCTGACCTCGCTGATGCCTTGCAGTTTTCTTTTCTTTTTCTTTTTTTTTTTTTTTTAAAGGGTGGGGTAAATTTCAGGAAAGCCAAAGTTACACGCAAAATTGTAAATCAATAGATGGAGGTTACACTGTGGTTTTGGCCTAAAAAGGCAGGATATCTTGAAATAAGGGCTTACAGTCATAGGTAGATTCAAAGATTTTTTTTAAAAAGGCAGGATATCTTGAAATAAGGGCTTACAGTCATAGGTAGATTCAAAGATTTTTCTCATTTGCAGTGGCTTAAGAAAGAGAAGCTTTGTTTAAATTTTGGGGTCCGCAGAAGAGAATGTTAGCTCAGGATTGTAGATGTGACTCCCTCCAGGCCCCTCAGAAAGAAATTTTCAACAAAGAACAGTGGTCAGAGTTCAGTCTTCAGTTCCCCCTTCTCTGAGATCTAGGTGCCAGCAGATCCATTCAGTAGGGGTCCAGGTTTCTGAAAAACAACTGAAGGACCTATGTTAAAATGTTATTTTTCGTCTCTACAGAAAACCAAATATCCCGTGATTTTAACTTCCTTGGATATCATTTTAAGCTACTATTACCTTTTTATTAAGTTACTTATTTACTCTCAGGGCTAGTTATGTGCCAGTAATTTCTCTTGAAAGAACTCAAGACTTTGCTTTATTTCTATGCTTAGATACTCAGCAAGCTCTTAAGAGGGGGTCCGCCGGGCGCGGTGGCTCAAGCCTGTAATCCCAGCACTTTGGGAGGCCGAGAAGGGCGGATCACAAGGTCAGGAGATCGAGGACCATCCTGGCTAACACAGTGAAACCCCGTCTCTACTAAAAAATACAAAAAAACTAGCCGAGCGAGGTGGCGGGCGCCTGTAGTCCCAGCTACTCGGGAGGCTGAGGCAGGAGAATGGCGTAAACCTGGGAGGCGGAGCTTGCTGTGAGCTGAGATCCGGCCACTGCACTCCAGCCTGGGCGACAGAGTGAGACTCCGTCTCAAAAAAAAAAAAAAAAAAAGAGGGGGTCCCTGCCCTGTCTCACAGGGAGGAGCTTCTTTTTCGCCATTTTCTTTCTCTCTCTCTCTTTTTTTTTTTTTTAAAATAGGGTGGGTCTCCCTATGTTGCCTAGGCTGGTCTTGGGTTCCTGGCCTTTAGCCACCCTCCCTCATCAGCCTTCCCAAGTGCTGGGATTACAGGCGTGAGCCTTCCCTCCTTCCCTGCCCTCCCCACCCCTTCCCTCTCCTTTCCTTTCCCTTTCTTTCTCTCTCTCTTTTTTTTTTTTTTTCTTTTATGAGATGGAGTTTCGCTCTTGTTGCCGAGGCTGGAGTGCAATGGCGCAGTCTCGGCTCACAGCAACCTCCGTCTCCCGGATTGAAGCGATTCTCCTGCCTCAGCCTCCCTAGTAGCTGTGATTACAGGCATGCGCCACTACGCCCAGCTACCTTTGTATTTTTAGTGGAGACCGGGTTTCTCTCCATGTTGGTCAGTTTGTTCTCGAACTCCCTACCTCAGGTGATCCGCCTGCCTCAGCCTCCCAAAGTGCTAGGATTACAGGCATGAAACACTGCACCCGGCCTTATTCGCTATTTTCTATGCATGCGAGGTATGTAGAAACATGATGGAAAACTGCACCAGCACGACTTTTGCTCCACCTCTACATACGACTCGACCTAATAAAAGCAATGTTTTCACCTTTGTTCAGGGAGGCACTGCTTTAAGAATTACCCCCAGTGTTTTCCTTACTTGTTGCAAGTAGTAAGATCCCCTTGTCAAATCCTTGGTTGTGGTCACTGTACTGTCACCGACCAAGTAAGCAAACTCATCCACTGGGTGAGGAATAGTCCTGCAAGAAAGTCTTGGCAGGAGGGACAAAGGTCAGCCAAAGGCTCACTCCACCACACCCACAGTCTCAACAAGAATAGGGAACACAAGAGGTAACTGCCTTACTAGCCCTTGCTTTCCCTAACTGTGGCCTCCGGAATCCGGTGTGGAAGACTCGTGCAGAAACTGCTGAGACCCTTCCCTATTCCCCGTCGCGGTCCACCTTACCCCAATGGCAACTTTCTGGCCGGGCAGGTCAAGAGCCCGGCTAAAAAGGTGAGAGAATGAGAGTGTAAACCGCCAGATTACTACTGTCAGTTACGAAAAAAAATGGTCCTCTGGAAGCGACGTTCTCTGTGCGTCAGGTAACACGCCGCAGGAAAGGTACACTAGGGCGTATCACGTGATCGTCAACCGCTGGGGCTAGCGGGCGCCTAGAACCCGGCGGTCGTCCATGGCCAGGAAGGTTCCAGTCACCTTCCTCTCTCTAATGCCATCCTTCGCGCCTCACCTAAGCGAGCGCCACCTTCTCGCAGCTTCCAGCCCCCTAAAGCCTGGGAAGTCTTGGCCCTCCCAAGGTGGGGAAACCGAGGAACGGACGTGAAGGGTGTTGTGGGACGCGCGGCCGTGGAGCTGGATTGCACCGAGTCCCAGCGCGCATCCGGGCTCCGGGAGTCAGAGACGGCGCGGAGCACTGGGCGACATCCGAGCTCAGGGCTCCGCGGGTCCGGTGGCCTCTTGTTTCACCTTCTTGCTCTTGGGCCATCTTCCCTAAGTGGGAAGACCTGGGTTTTGCTAATCGGTTACCCGAGACCTTGGAGCAACGGCCGCCTTTGTTTGCAAAACGCACCTCATTTTGTGGCACCCGCCCTGCGCAGGTGGAGCCTTTAGATGGGGACACCTGGACGAAGCTCCGATGGGCAATGGGGGCTGGAAATTTGTCAGGAGCACGGACATAGGTCGCCCTTCGGCCTGAATTTGGCGTAACTAGGACTGTGGGTACCTCCTGGCCCCAGACTGTTTATCAAAGCAAGCTTGCTGCAAGCTGTTGTAGATGAGCTTTAACCTCCGCTGGTCGGAGGTGCTCTGAAGACCTTTGGCTTTTTATTTTATTTTATTTCATTTCATTTTTTGAAACAGAATTTCGTTGTCGCCCAGGTTGGAGTGCAGTGGCGCCATCTCGGCTCACTGCAACTGCAGCCTCCTGGGTTCAAGTGATTCTCATGCCTCAGCCTCCTGAGTAGCTGGGATTACAGGCATGTGCCATCACGCCCACCTAATTTTTGCATTTTTTGGTAGGAATGGGGTTTCCCCATGTCCAAGCTGGTCTCAAACTCCTGGCCTCCTTTGATCCACCCGCCTCCGCCTCCCAAAGTGTTGGGATTACAGGCGTGAGCCACCGCGTGAAGGGGTGGCCTGCCCCTCCACACCTGTGGGCGTTTCTCATTAGGTGGAAGGAGAGACTTGAGAAAAGAAATGAGACACGAGACAAAGTATAGAGAAAGAAAAAGTGGGCCCAGGGGACCGGCGCTCAGCTTACAGAGGACCCACGCCAGCACCGGTCTCTGAGTTCCCTTAGTATTTATTGATAATCATCTTTACCATCTTAAAGATAAGGGAGTGGCAGGACAATAGGATCATTTTAGGGAGAAAATTAGCAGTAAGACATATGGACAAAGATCTCTGTGACATGAATAAGTTCAAAGGAAAATGTTGTGCCTTGATACGCATATGCAAACATCTCCATAAACCTCTCAGCAGCATTGCTCCAGCCAGTCCCGCCAGCAAGTCCCACCTTATGCCCTAAGGCAGTTTTCTCCTATCTCAGTAAACAGAGTATACAATCGGGTCTCACACCGAGATGTTCCATTGCCCAGGGACGGGCAGGATTTTTAACCAGCAAGCTGCCTTCAGGCACTTGTTTAACAAAGACACATCCTGCACAGCCCAAAATCCATTAAACCTTGAGTCACCACAGCACATGTCTCTTGCAAGGACAAGGTTGGGGGTAGGGTCACAGATTAACAGCATCTCAAATACAGAACCAAATGGAGTCTCTTATGTCTGCTTCTTTCTGTATAGACACAGTAACAGGCTGATCTCTCTTTCTTTTCCCCACAACTGCGCCCAGTCTGGAAACTTTTTTGTTTTTGTTTTTTGAGATGGAGTCTCACTCTGTCACCCAGACTGGAGTGCACTGGCGCTCCAGCGGGTGCGATCCTGGCCCATTGCAATCTCCGCTTCCCGGATTCAAGCATTTCCCCTGTCTCAGCCTCCTGAGTAGCTGGGACTACACGTGACTGCCACCACACCCGGCTAATTTTTGCATTAGATCACCTCAGGTGATCCACCCACCTCGGCCAGCGCGCCTGGCCTTCAAAACACTTTTTTTTGTTGTTGTTGTTGAGACAGAGTCTCGCTTTGTCGCCCAGACTGGAGTGCAGTGGCCGGATCTCAGCTCACTGCAAGCTCCGCCTCCCGGGTTCACGCCATTCTCCTGCCTCAGCCTCATGAGTAGCTGGGACTACAGACGCCCGCCACCTCGCCCAGCTAGGTTTTTGTATTTTTTAGTAGAGACGGGGTTTCACCGTGTTAGCCAGGATGGTCTCCATCTCCCGACCTCGTGATCCGCCCATCTCGGCCTCCCAAAGTGCTGGGATTACAGGCTTGAGCCACAGCGCCCGGCCTTTTTTTTTTTTTTTTTTTGAGGCGGAGTCTTGCTCTGTTGCCCAGGCTGAAGTGCAGTGGCAAGATCTCCACTCATTGCAAGCTCCGCCTCCCGGGTTCACGCCATTCTCCTGCCTCAGTCTCCCGAGTAGCTGGGACTACAGGCGCCCTTCACCACGCCCGGCTAATTTTTTTGTATTTTTAGTAGAGACGGGGTTTCACCCTGTTAGCCAGGATGGTCTTGATCTCCTGACCTCGTGATTTGCCCGCCTCAGCCTCCCAAAGTGCTGGGATTACAGGCGTGAGCCACTGTGCCCAGCCCCTATTTTTTAAATGTTTAAAAATTTAAGATTTTTTCCTAAAAAATTCTGAACATGATGTGTCTTTCTGGTTAAACTGCATTAAAATGTTTTTCTGTGAAAATGCTTTTGTGCCTGTTGCATACAACCGTTTCAGATGAAAAGTCTGGATAAGAGTAGGAGATGATTTCAACGGCCGGGCGACATGTTTACTTTGTTGGAAGGACACGTGGGAATATAATGAAGCCAAAAATATGGGGATATTGTAAGTTAAAAATATGGTTTGCCCTCTATTCTTTCAATATCCACAAAACTTCTGAAACACGCCCTACATGTGTCCTTGAGTGTATTACTAATAAAGTATACAATATAACGCTTCAATTTAAAGTGGCATAGAATTGCCAACATTTATACAGAACTTAGTATTTGTCAAGCACTGTTCTAAGTGCTCCACAGGTTTTAGCACCTATTACCCTCAGTGAAGTTATTACCCAGTGAATAGTCCCATATTACAGATAAACTACCTCACCATGAGACTGAGTAATTTGCTCAAAGTCACACAGAGCCAGGATCAGCTTCTCTATTTTTTTTCTTTGTTGTTGTTTGTTTGTTTTCAAATAGGTGGGGTGACTATGTTGCCCAAGCTGGTCTCCAGCTCCTAGGCTCAGATCCTTTGGCCTCAGCCTCCCTGAAGTAGCTGGGGACTAGAGGCACACGCCACCACACTGGGCAAGATCTGCTTTTTTAAGTAGTCTTCTGTATTCTTAATGCAAAGGAGAACTGGACTGGAAGTCTGGAGGCCTGTACTTCAGACCTAGCTCTACTATTTACCCAGTTGTTTGACTTATTGATTGATTGACTGATTGAGACAGAGTTTCGCTCTTATTGCCCAGGCTGGAGTGCAATGACGCGACCTCGGCTCACTGCAACCTCCACCTCTCAGGTTCAAGTGAACTGCCTCAGCCTCCTGAGTAGCTGGGATTACAGGCATGCACCACCACACCCTGCTAATTTTTGGTAGTTTTAGTAGAAACGAGGTTTCACCATGTTGGCCAGGCTGGTCTCGAACTCCTGACTTCAGGTGATCCACCTGCCTCAGCCTCCCAAAGTGCTGGGATTACAGGCGTGAACCACCGAGCCCAGCCTGGGTTGACTCTTGAATAACATGGGTTTGAATTGCATGGGTCCACTTATACACTGCATTTTTTCAACCAAATGCAGATTGAACATACAGTATTCACGGGATGTGAAACCGTGTATGGGGAGGGCTCACTTTTCGTATACTCTTATTCCTCAGGGCCAGCTGTGGGACTTTGGTATGCTTGGATTTTGCTATACTTGGGGGTCCTATAGTGGTTATAAGACCAATAACTAATCCTCTGTGTATACTGAGAGACAACTGTACTGTAAAGCTGTGTCTCAAGTTTCTTCACCTGAAAAATAAGGATTCTACATCAGTGCTATTGACTTCTCAAGAGTTATGAACATCAATACAATGAGTTTTAAAAGTAGAAGCATTTGGCTGGGTGTGGTGGCTCACGCCTGTAATCCTAGCACTTTGGGAGGCTGAGGTGGGTGGATTACCTGAGGTTGGGAGTTCAAGACCAGCCTGGCCAACGTGGTAAAACCCTGTCTTTACCAAAAATACAAAAAATTAACCAGGTGCAGTGGCGCACACCTGTAATCCCAGCTACTTGGGAAGCTGAGGAAGGAGAATTGCTTGAACCTGGGAGGTGCAGGTTGTGGTAAGCCTAGATTGTGCCACTGCATTCCAGCCTGGCCTACAGAGTAAGACTTCATCTCAAAAAACAAACAAACAAACAAAAAACCACAAAAAAAGTAGAAGGATTTTTAAAGCAGTAAAACACTGTATGAAACAGATGTTATATTGCAATTGTTTTATAGTCTTGGCTATTGAAGTAGGCCAATTAGGCAATTTACTGTTATGACCCAGATGACTATATTTATGTCCCTGAAGTATAATTATCTTTAAATTTGAATTGTAATTAACATTTTTTTTTTTGCCAGATGAAATAATTCATTCGGTTCTGATAATAAACCACATTTGCACAATAGCTGTATCCTTGTAAAGTCAATTATGTAGATAATAACCTTAGAAATCACCTCAGAAACACTAATTACTAGTAAAAAATGAGTTTCTCAATTGTTTATAATACTAATAATATAGCAAATTATAGAGTGAAATTTTGATGTTTTAAAGTCCAGTGGACTCTGAAATATATAGACATAGAATGACAGTAATCACTGATTTTTTTTTTTTTTTTGAGATGGAGTCTTGCTCTGTCACCAGGCTGGAGTACAGTGGCACAATCTTGGCTCACTGCAACCTCTGCCTCTCGGGTCCAAGCAATTTTCCTGCCTCAGTCTCCCAAGTAGCTGGGACTACAGGCATGCGCCACCACACCCAGCTAATTTTTGTATTTTTAGTAGAGACGGAGGTTTCACTATGTTGGCCAGGATGGTCTTGATCTCCTGACTTCGTGATTCACCCACCTCAGCCTCCCGAAGTGCTGGGATTGCAGGTGTGAGCCACCACACCTGGCCTAATCATTGATTTTTAAAAATGATTCTATATTGACAATAATTTCGCATTTTTATGAGCCAATAAATCCTTATTGTTTATGAATGTTTATATTTAGTTATATTACTTGCATCAGATGAGTACTAGTAGTTACACTGAACTATGCTATGGCCACAGCCTCTTCTCCTGCTTAGCTTGGAACTCTAAATACCAACCCCAGCTGACATGGAATAGGGCTCTGTATCTGGTGGATGCTCATTAACAGTTGTTAGCCAACTCTGAAAGGTGTCTTCTTAGCATGCAAATACTTGTAAAAATTTTACAGAAGGGTGACAAATTTTAACAGTCTACCTTCAGTTGATTTCTTTTTTTTTTTTAGACGGAGACTTGCTCTGTTGCCCAGGCTAGAGTGCAGTGGCTCACTGCAACCTCCGCCTCCCGGATTCAAGTGATTTTCCTGCCTCAGCCTCCCAAGTAGCTGGGATTACAGGTGCCTGCCACCATGCCCAGCTAATTTTTTGTATTTTTAGCAGAGACGGGGTGTCACCCAGTTGGCCAGGTTGGTCTTGAACCCCTGACCTCAAGTGCTCCACCTGCCTCGGCCTCCCAAAGTGCTGGGATTATAGGTGTGAGCCACTGTGCCCAGCCTAGTTGATATATTTTAATCTCCCTTGATTCTCTGGAGAAGAAATGCCCTGTATATTTTCTCTTTTGCTTTCTTTTTGGAGGCTGGCTGTTGTGTTTCTGAACATGCTCTGTACTTCTTGTGGTCTCCTAATGAATTTTAAGTGAGTATTATCAAGATAGTTTACATTAATTTGGGCTGACTCACTATCTGTGTGTGCCTGTTTGCTTCATATTTTATCATCAGCAAAAAACTGGTGCAGCCGGGCGCGGTGACTCACGCCTGTAATCCCAGCACTTTGGGAGGCCGAGGCGGGCGGATCACAAGGTCAGGAGATCCAGACCACGGTGAAACCCCGTCTCTACTAAAAATACAAAAAATTAGCTGGGCGCGGTGGCGGGCGCCTGTAGTCCCAGCTACTCAGGAGGCTGAGGCAGAAGAATGGCGTGAACCCGGGAGGTGGAGCTTGCAGTGAGCCGAGATCGCACCACTGCACTCCAGCCTGGGTGACAGAGCTAGACTCCGTCTCAAAAAAAAAAAAAAAAAAAAAAAACTGGTGCAAATGCATGGTTGGGGCACATGATATAAAACACCAGTCTCTAACTTGTATTATGGCTTTAATTTTCTCTCTGTTCTTGCTTTATGATCAAAAGCAGAGTGCATTTTCTGCCTGCTTTTTATTGGAATGTTGGGGAGTGATTAAAGAACTAAGACATATTTTGAAAAAATGTGCCTTTGATGTGAAGTGATACTTATCGTGAATTAGTCAATATTGTACACTTATACAATTAAACAACCTATGGATTTAACTTATAAATGCCTTCAAGAATCACTGTTGCAATTCAACACATTATATATATAACATATATATTATAATTATATTATATAATATATAATATACAATATATAATTATTATGTATTTTATATTATATAATAAATAATATATATCACTACCTATTATTATATATTATATATTATATAATATATATATATATTGTGTGTGTGTGAGACAGGGTCTGGACAGGTCTGCCCAGGCCGGAGTGCAGTGTCACCATCTCGGCTTACTGCAGCTTCAACTTCCCAGGTTCAAGCAGTCTTCCCACTTCAGCTTCCCAAGTATCTGGGACTACAGGGATGCACCACCAGGCCTGGCTAATTTTTGTATTTTTAGTAGAGACAGGGTTTTTGCCATGTTGCCCAGGCTTGTCTCAAACTCCTGAGCTCAAGCGATCCACCTGCCTCGGCCTCCCAATGTGCTGGGATTACAGGTGTGAGCCACGGCGCCTGGCCTGAAATGTGTACACTTTTTAATTTAAGTGTAGCAGGATGAGCGGCAGACAAAACCTCTCAGACACGGAGTTGTAGGAGGAAGGGCTTTATTCAGCTGGGAGCATCGGCAAGCTACTGCCTTAAAATCCGAGCTCCCTGAGTGCACAATTTCTGTCCCTTTTAAGGGCTCACAACACTAAAGATTTCACATGAAAAGGTAGTGATTGATTTGAGCAAGCAGTGGGTATGTGACAGGGGCTGCATGCACCGGTGGTCAGAGAGAAACAGAACAGAGCAGGGAGTTTCACAATGTTCTTTTTTTTTTTTTTTTTTTTTTGAGACGGAGTTTCACTCTTGTTGCCCAGGGTGAAGTGCAATGGCATGATCTCGGCTCACCAAAACCTCTGCCTCCCAGGTTCAAGCGATTCTCTTGCCTCAGCCTCCCTAGTAGCTGGGATTATAGGCATGTGCCACCACGCCTGGCCAATTTTGTATTTTTAGTAAAGACAGGGTTTCTCCATGTTGGTCAGGCTGGTTTTGAACTCCTGACCTCAGGTGATCCGCTCGCCTTGGCCTCCCAAAGTGCTGGGATTACAGGCGTGAGCCACCGCCCCTGGCCCACAATGTTCTTTTATACGACGCGGGGAATCTAAGGACAACATCGGTTTTTAAGTCATGAGTTGATTTTTAACTACTAGGTTTAGGCCAGGCAGGTCCAGGTCCGGTTTGGGGCCTGGCGCCGGGCTGCCTGTCTTTGGTTTCACTTCCTTGTTTTGTTTTGTTTTGTTTTTTAAACAGGTACTGAGTATAAAACAATATGAGAGGGTCTCTCTCTTGCCTCATAAGAATGAAAGAAGACTGGCTGCACCGCCCACTCCAGAGCGTTGAGAGGATGGGGATCAAACACTCAGCGGACCGGGCAGGCTGTCAGTGTCCGCAGGCCGCTCAACACGACGCGGGCATATGGCAGCGAACAGGAGAGGAGATGTCGCGGTCCCAGCAGTCTGTCTCCGCCGCTCTTGGCTGCCTGGTCCCGGCCCCGGTGCAGGGGTAGGACGATTACTTGGGATCTTGGATCCGGACTAGGAGGGCAAGGTAGAAGAGCAAAGCGGGCCAGTACTGAGGGTGCGATTTGCGACCGTTCTGCCTAAACGACAGCAGATGCTCGCGCTCGCGCACGCGCAGAAAGAGTTGGCTGCCACGCTCCCTGCTGCGCCCGAGGACCTCACGTCACACCGAGGGCCTCATGTGACCTCGCAGCAGCCAGCGAAGCGGGGTAGTCAGCATCTCCGCAACTAACCTGGGTCAGCTGGCCGTCGGGACCAGGTTCTTTCCCGGGGCTCAGCGCAGTCGCTGAGCTAACGCCACAGTCTGGAAGTTGCCTGTTTCGTCAGAGCGGGGGGAATACTTGGGCAGGAAAGAGGAACTGAGGCCCAAGCATCCGCGGGACTCCTTTAGAGCGGGACCTGCCGGTGTCCACGCGCCCCACTTAGTAATAGGTTTCCACGCCAGTCTGGGACCTTCCGGAGCGGTGACCTCAGAGGCGCATCCATGGAGGGGCCCGTGAAGGTGTCGCCAGCCTCTGGGCTGTCCTTAAGGATTTTTTTTTTTTTTTTTTTTTTTGAGACGGAGTCTCGCTTTGTTATCCAGGCTGGAGTGCAGTGGCGCGATCTCGTCTCACTGCAACTCCCTCCTCCTGGGTTCAAGCGATGCTCCTACCTCAGCCTCTCGAGTAGCTGGGACTCCACGAGCGCGCCACCACGCCCAGCTACTTCGAGGGGAACACTTCAACAATGACCATGTCGTAAGCTTCCGGGAGCGCAAGTTCCGTGTGCTGGAGGCACCCGTGTGGAGTGTGTTCTGCTCCCGCAGGTGTGAGCCTTCAGATGGGGAACGTGCGCTGGAAATTTCTGAGAAATGCTTGAACCCGGCTCTGGGCTGAAATTGAAAAAAATTAGAAGTGCAGGTGCATCCTGGTTCTTCTCAGTGTATCGGAGTCGGGCTGTTTCAACCTTCGTTTTTGCACTTCAACGTTAGCTCTTCAGGGTATTAAATTTAGGGCTTTTGTGCTGTCAGAGGCAGATGACCAAACCTATCAAACATTCCGCAGAGGTGAAATGAATTTTCTTAACTGGCTAAAGTGTCTCAACTGCCAGGCCCTTGCGGGCCTTTGTTCCGTAACGTTCTTAGCTAAGAAAGATTACACGATCAATGAATTTGGGCAGAGTAATTGCTAAGTTTCCTCTTTCAAATTATACTTTGGTGTAAAGACTCAATTTCAATGCTACAAAACTCTAATTTCAGCTTATTTGAAACATTCTACGAGCTCTACACGCAGATGTTTTCTTGGTTTTGAGGGACACGGTGAGGATAAAGGGAATATGATATTCATGGTGGTAATGGCAAAAATGTTTACTCCACACACAAGACGAATTTTTCCTATACTAGAAGACAATTGAGTATATTCCTTTTTTTTTTTTTTTTTTTTGAGACGGAGTCTCGTCTGTCGCCCAGGCTGGGTGCGTGCGCGATCGGCTACTGCAAGCTCCGCCCCGCACACATTCCCCTCAGCCTCCCAGTACTACTACAGCCCCCAACCCCCCCTATTTTTGTATTTTAGTAACGGTTCACCGTCTCATCTACCTTGTCCCCCCCCCTCCAAGTATATTCCTAATAAGGTGTACAATATCGAGCTTCCAAGTCTACTTAGGAGACAAGGTGATGAGAGATTATGATAAGAACAACACGTCATAAACATAATGGTGACTGAATTATCTATAATCACCAAAGACTCAATGACTCATCTCCCATGCTATCTCAAAGACATTTCACCCAGTTTTTTCCTCCATTGGTTCAAAATAAGATCACTGTCTTCTCCCCGACATGCCTTTTTTTTTTTTTTAATTTAGATGGGGTCTCACTCTGTCACCCAGGCTGCAGTGTAGTGACCTGATCTTGGCTCACTGCAGCCTCCACTTCCCACCTCACCCTCCTGAGTAGATGGGACTACAGGCACAGGCCATCACGCCTGGGTATAACATGCTTTTTAAATTTGACTTCTAGGACACCCATTCTCTTGGTTTTCCCCTACTTCTATGTCTGCTCCTTCTCAGTGTTTTTTTCTTTTTTTTTTTTTTGCTAATTCTCTCTTCTCATCACCTTTTCATTTGGAGTGTCTCCAAGTGTAATTTATGGTCCTCTTCTGTATCTAACCCTCACTTTCTTGGTGATCTTGCTGATCTTACCATGTCTCATGGGTTTAAATTTTATCTTCTATGCACCTCTGGTTGTACATTTATCAAATGCCATACTTTTACATCCAACTACCTTCTTTTTTTTTTTTGAGACGGAGTCTTGCTCTGTCACCCAATCTGGAGTGCAGTGGCGTGATCTCAGCTCACTGCAAGCTCCACCTCCCGGGTTCACACCATTCTCCTGCCTCAGCCTCCCGAGTAGCTGGGACTACAGGTGCCCGCCACCATGCCCGGCTAATTTTTTGTATTTGTAGTAGAGATGGGGTTTCACCGTGTTAGCCAGGATGGTCTCGATATCCTGACCTTGTGATCCGTTCACCTCCGCCTCCCAAAGTGCTGGGATTACAGGTGTGAGCCACCACGCCTAGCCCCAACTGCCTTCTTGACATCTCCTCACAGATGTCCAATAAATATCTGAAAATTGATGTGTCAATACTGAACTCATGATCTTCCTCTCTATACGTGCTCCACTATGGCCTTTCCCATTGTAAATGACAGCAATTCCATCCTTTTAGTTGTTTATGCCAAAGCCTGCTTTCTTCCACTGCACCAGTCATCAGGACGTCATGTTGGCTCTACCTTCAAAACATGTCCCAAATCTGACCTTTTCTCAACTGCCTCCATAGTGAACACCTTAGTTAGCTGTATTATCATTGCAGGAGCCCCCTAACAGGTGTCTCTGCCTCTACCCTACTACCCTCCCCGCCCCAGCCCCCTAGTCTCAACACAGCAGCCGGAGTGAGTGTTTTAAAAGCTAAGTCGGATCACATCACCCTTCTGTAGAAAACACTCTCATGGCTTCTGGTTTCATTCAGAGTAAAATCCAAAATCCTTAGAATAGCCTTCAAGGCCTGAAATGACCGAATTCTGTTAGTCATGGTTCTAGCAGGAAACAGCTGGCATGTTCAAATTAGGATAGTTTAAGGAGAATTTTAAAAAGGGGTTATTCTAAAAGGTGTGAGCAGAGGAAAGGGAATGATTGTACAGCAACCTTGGGTCTAGTAACAGCAGGGCTTTTACAGCATCCCTATGCTGGAAGGGGCAAGGAACGGAGTGGTACCAGATCCCCCAAACAGAGAGGACTAAAGCGATAGCCACCTGTCAGGAGTTGAATCCCTTCAGTTGAGGGATAGGGATGCAGCCAGCCAGTGGGCATCTTGCTTAGAGGGAGCAAGAGTAATGAATACCCAGATGCCACTCTCCTCACTCGCTCTCTTTTGTGGGTGCCCTGTTAGGAGATCCAACAGAAAGCCAGATGGCAAGGGTGTAGTCCCTAGAGGGCACCTCCCTGGACTCACAGCAGGATGGAAGAAGGTGAAGGGTGGTCTGGAGGGCCACATATGGGATACTGAGCACCCTCTCTAAGCTCAGCCTGGCCCTCCCCTTCCATTCATTCCCTCAAACCACACTGGCCTTGTTATCCTGTAAGATTCTCATGCTTCTCTCTTAGGGCCTGTTTTAGGTACCCCCTCTGCCTGGAATATTCTTTCTCACATATTTTTTGGGCTAATGTCCTCATCTCCTTTGGCCTTTGCTCAACTCTCATTATCCTCTCAAATAGGACATCTTGGCTGGGCATGGTGGTTCATGCCTGTAATCCTAGCACTTTGGGAGGCCGAGGCAGGTGGATCACCTGAGATCAGGAGTTTGAGACCAGCCTAGCCAACATGGTGAAACCCCGTCTCTACTAAAAATACAAAAATTAGCCAGGCGTGGTGGCATGTGCCTGTAATCCCAGCTACTCAGGAGGCTACTCCTAGCTACTCAGGAGACTGAGGCAGGAAAATCCCTGGAACCCAGGAGGTGGAGGCTGCATTGAGCCGAGATTGTACCACCACACTCTAGTCTGGGTGACAGAGCGAGACTCCATCTCAAAAAAAAAAAACCCAAAAAGGACACCTTGATCACCCATTCAGCACTGCCACCCACCACCCAGCACTCCTGACCCTGCTACACTGCTGTACTTTTTCTTTCATCCATAGCACTTAACTTCCTGCATACTCTAACCTTCACTTATTTATTGTGCACTGTTTATTTCCTCCATCCCTCCACTAAGATTGAGCTCCGCAAGTGAAAGGATCTTTGTCAGCTTAGTTGATTGATGTATTCTAAGTGACTAGATCACATAATGTTTGTTGAATGAATTAACAGTCCTTTAGTACTTACCGGGCGTGGTGGCGGATGCCTGTAGTCCCAGCTACTCAGGAGGCTGAGGCAGGAGAATGGCATGAACCTGGGAGGCGGAGCTTGCAGTGAGCCGAGATCCTGCCACTGCACTCCAGCCTGGGCGACAGAGCGAGGCTCCATCTCAAAAAAAAAAAAAAAGAGGTTCACCATGGCAATGCAAAAAAAATTTTTTTTTTTTTTCTTGAGACGGAGTCTCACTCTGTGTCGCCCGGGCTGGAGTGCAGTGGCAGGATCTCAGCTCACTGCGAGCTCCGCCTCCTGGGTTCATGCCATTCTCCTGCCTCAGCCTCCCGAGTAGCTGGGATTACAGGTGCCCACCACCACACCTGGCTAATTTTTTTTTTTTTGGTATTTTTAGTAGAGACCGGGTTTCACCGCCTTGGCCAGGTTGGTCTCAAACTCCCAGCCTCAGGTGATCCACCTGCCTCAGCCTCCCAAAGTACTGGGATTACAGGCGTGTGCCACTGTGCCCAGCCAACAATGCAAATTGATAGCTTATCTTTACAGGTGCAGTCACCCCAGCCCACCAGACACAAATGTATACCTGATTGTTCCCCTACCCCATTTTGTCCGTATTGTCTTATGTAAAATGCAGATTCCCCACATTTTTTCCCAGCCTCTTTTGTTTATGTAAAAACTGTGTGCTTCTCAATATCCTGCCCTTTCCCCTTTAAATTTGGAACCCTCAAAATCATCTTCGGAGAAACCACAGACCAGTCTCCTGGGCGCTTTCTTCACTTTGGCAAATAAATCTCCTAAAATGATTGAGACTTGTCTCATCATTTTCCTCCATTGACATCTGGTAATCAGGAAGGGATCCTAGATGAAAGTGGCCCAGCCTGCAGCAGTTCGCCTCTCGGTGCTTGGTGTTGGCTTGGGCACCTTATAGCCCAAACTGACAAGACAATTTGCCAAAGTCCAGGACCTCTTTCCTCCAGGAATCTCTGATCTTCCAGCATTTTTCAGCTGGGGGTCTGAGGTTTATTTGCTGTTTAAAAAAAAAAAAAACTCCCTTTTTGTGGGAGTTTTTCCACTCACTTCCACCAAGGAAGGCGAATTCATCTGCTTCTGCATCAGTGGAGAGCGGTCTCCAGCTTGGGCTCCATCACTAGGTAAGAAACTGGTTTGGGATTCTGTCTTCCTGCAAATTCTCTTAAATAACTAAAATTAGCATGAACAACCAGCTGGTGTTAGCTTCTGCTTACACTTAGAGCGCTCAGAAATAGTATAATTTGTGTCATCATTGTTAGTTGTGCTTAACTGTTTTGTTGTTTGTTTCTGTCTTGGTCAAATCAGAAGGGGAATCCTAAATTACTGGGAACAAGGCCTCTGAAGTGGGAGGAAAACAGCCAACAAGAGGGAAAAAAGTAAGAGAAAAGAAAAGATTTTTAATTTTAACTATTAAAGGGGCTTTATGTACATAACAAGGCCACCTTTTTGCCAGCCGAGACCAAACTGAAAGAGCAATGGCTGTATTTCTGAAATAACAGCATTTTGTCCTAGCTGAAATATGGTAATAAGATTTTAAAAAGGCCGGATGTAATAACTCACACTTGTAATCCCACCACTTTGGGAGGCCAAGGCAAGTGGATCATGAGGTCAGGAGTTCAAGACCAGCCTGACTAACATGGTGAAACCCTGTCACTACTAAAAATACAAAAATTAGCCAGCCGTGGTGGTGCACACCTGTAGTCCCAGCTACTTGGGAGGCTGAGGCAGGAGAATTGCTTGAACCCAGGAGGCAGAGGTTGCAGTGAGCCGAGATTGCACCACTGCACTCCAGCCTAGGTGACAAAGCAAGACTCTGTTTCAGAAATAAATAAATGAAATAAAAATAGCTAGGCATGGTGGCATGCCTGTAGTCCCAGCCACTCAAGAGGCTGAGGAAGGATTCTCTGAGCCCAAGAGTTCAAGGCCGCAGTGAACTATGATTGTGCCACTGCACTCCAGTCTGGGAGACAGAGTGAAATCCTGTCTCTAAGAAAAAAAAGAAAGGCCTGAAAACTTTTTTTTTTTTTTTTTGAGACAGAGTTTCATTCTGTCACCCAGACTGGAGTGCAGTGGTGCGATTTCGGCTTACTGAAACTTCCACCTCCCGTGTTCAAGTGATTCTCATGCCTTACCCTCCCAAGTAGCTGGAATTACAGATGTGTGTCATTATGCCCGGCTAATTTTTGTATTTTTAGTAGAGACGCAGTTTCACCATATTGCCCAGGCTGGTCTTGAACTCCTGACCTCAAGTGATTCACCCGCTTTGGCCTCCCAAAGTGCTAGGATTACAGGAATGAGCCACTGTGCTCAGTCAATAATTAAAAATTTTAAAAAGAACACACACACAGACACACACACACACACTAAAAAGAGCCTGGAATGCTACAAGTGTATTATAGTTTATTGAAGTAAAATTATATTTATGACATCATGAACAATTGTCTTATGACTCAGTGACAAGGCTTGAAATTTAAAAAAGCAAAAAAGGGAACAATTGACTGTTTGCCAGTCCATTAAAATACATACTGCTGGCCGGGCATGGTGGCTCATGCCTGTAATCCGAGCACTGTTAAACCAATTATCTCTTTTTTTGATAAATTAATAAATCAAATTTATTCATTCCAGCTACTTGGGAAGCTGAGGCATGATAATTATTAATGAATGTGATTTATTAATGAATAAATGTGATTTATTAATGAATCACATTCTCTAAAATATTCCAAACCAGAAAATGTTGTGTTAAATACTTGTCAAGTTTCACAAGGTGATTAAACATACAATTGTGGGGTCCCACTCAGAACACCGGAGTTAGTATAAAGATTATTTTAAGCTGAAGACATCTGAGATGGAACAGATGCACAAAGAAGCTTCCTTGGGACTTCCCTTATTTGATTAAAAGTAGAAACTTCTGAGAAATGAGGACTGACATAAATTTCCTGTTTGGGGTGGCTTCTACTCCCAGGGGAGAGACCAAGAGTAAACCTACCATAAATCCCCTCTCTGGCCGAGTTTTATGACCCTGAAAAAGACCACTCACAGCTATATAAGAAAGTTTGTGATAATGTTTGCATGTCTTCCATTTGTTCTTCTAAAAATACATTTGTCTTTTTTAGAGAAACCTATTTGTCCTTCCTATAGAAGTCCTTTTTTTGGCTAGGCGCATCGGCTCACGCATGTAATCTCAGCACTTTGGAAGGCTGAGGCAGGCAGATCACCTGAGGTCAGGCGTTCAAGACCAGCCTGGCCAACATGGTGAAACCCCGTCTCTACTAAAAATACAAAAATTAACTAAGCATGGTGGCGGGCACCTGTAGTCCCAGCTATTCGGGAGGCTGCGGCAGGAGAATTGCTTGAACTTGGGAGGCAGAGGTTGCAGTGAGCTGAGATTGTGCCACTGTACTCCAGCCTGGGCAACATAGTGAGACCCTGTCTCAAAAAAAAAGAAGTCCAGGCCGGGCATGGTGGCTCATGCCTGTAATCCCAGCACTTTGGGAAGCTGAGGCGAGAGGATCACAAGGTCAAGAGATTGAGACCATCCTGGCCAACATGCTGAAACCCATCTCTACTAAAAATATAAAAATTTGCTGAGCGTGGTGGTGTGCACCTGTAATCCCAGCTACTTAGGGGGCTGAAGCAGGAAAACTGCTTGAACCTGGGAGGCAGAGGTTGCAGGGAGACGAGATGGTACCACTGCACTCCATCCTGGTGACAGAGTGAGACTCCATATCATTAAAAAAAAAATTAGTAGGCCGTGGTGGTACGTGCCTGTAGTCCCAGCTACTTGGGGGGCTGAGGTGAGAGGATCACTTGAGCCCTGGCAGTCGAGGCTGCAGTGAGCCAAGATCACACTACTGCACTCCAGCCTAGGTGCCAGAACAAGAGCCTGTTTAAAAAAAAAAGATAAAAAATAATTTAAAAAGAGAGAGAGAGGGTTCCCACTCTCTTGCCCAGGCTGGTCTCATGTGGTCCTCCTGCCCCAGCCTCCCAAAGTGCTAGGATTACAGGCGTGAGCCACCATGCTGGGCTGTGAGACTCTTGTTTTTACAGAAAATTAAAAATTAGCCAGCGTGGTGGCATGTACCTATAGTCCCAGCTATTTGGGAGGCTGAGGTGGGAGGATTGGCCAGGCCCAGGAGGTCAAGGCTGCGGGGAGCTGAGATTGCACAAGTGCACTCCACCCTGGGCAACAAAGCAAGACCCTTCCCAAAAAATAAAATAAAAATAAAAATGAAAAATAAATTGGAGTCAGGCAAGGTGGCACATGCTTGAAATCCCAGCACTTTAGATGGCTGAGGCAGGAGGATCCTTTGAGCCTGGGAATTTGAGACCAGCCTGGGCAGCATAGTGAGACCCTGTCTCTATAAAAATAAATTTAAAAAGTTAGCCGGCCACGATGGTGCAGGCCTATGGCCTCAGCTACTCGGTAGGCTGAGGTGAGAGGATTGCTTGAGCCCAGGAGATCTAGGCCGTGGTGAGCCATGACTGTGCCACTGCAAAATCAGACCTGGGTGACAAAGTGAGATTCTATCTCAAATAAAATAATTGCTGGCTGGGTGCAGTAGCTCACGCCTGTAATCCCAGCACTTTGGGAGGCTGAGGCAGGTGAATCACCTGAAGTCAGGAGTTCGAGAACAGCCTGGCCAACATGGTGAAACCCCATCTCTACTAAAAATACAAACTTAGCCAGGCCTGGTGGCGTGTGCCTACACTCCCAGCTACTTGGGAGGCTGAGGCAGGAGAATAGCTTGAACCTGGGAGGCGGAGGTTGCAGTGAGCTGAGATTGTGCCATTGCACTCCAACCTGGGCAACAGAGTGAGGCTCTGTCTCAAAAACAAATAAATAAATAAAATGAAATAAAATAAAATAATAGTAACTGCTATCATGTCTCTTGATCCAAAGTTCTATTTTGGCAGTATTATATGTCTTGTGATTAAAACAAAGTGAAAACCATAATTATTTTCTAAGTTGTGCTTCTTTGGGTAGTCAAAAGTTCTTGAAATCTGGTGCGTTACAGTAAGATCAATAAAA